TGAAGCGGCGTCTGCCTCCGATCGTCTTCGTGGTTCGGGTCTAACCCCCGTTCAAGGAGGAACCGGAGCAGGTCCGCGTCCGCGTCGATATACGCGAGCACGTTGCACGCCTCTCCGTCCTGCGCGTGGATGTCCGCTCCCGCATCGAGCAATGCCTGCGCGACGTCTACGGCGTACGCTTTAAACAACGGCGGGATCTCGTGTTTGTCGCCGAGGTTTGGGTCCGCACCAGAAGCGAGGAGGAGCTGCACCATCACGAGGTTGCCGCTGTCTGCAGCGTGGTACAGCGGACTCGGGGCGGAGTATCTGTGACTGAGGAAATTCACGTCCGCGCCTTGGGATAAGAGAAACTCGGAGATCTCCTTGTTACCGGCTTGCACCGATTCGATGAGCGCGAGGCCTAGGTAGTCTCCGTGTGATTCATAACCCGAGATCAGGGACGGTAAAACACCGTTGAACATGTTATCGGAGCGAGGAGAAGGCATGGGAATAGGAGCGAGAAGTCTGACGACTTCGAGGTGCCCGCCGAGTACCGCATAATCCAAAGCCGTCCTGTTAAAATATTCGCGCGCGTGCACCTTCGCCGGCATCTCCTCTCCATAAAGCGTCATCAACTTTATGACCATAGCGCTGAGTCCCTTCCCTGCGGCGCCGTGGAGAAGGCTGCACTGACTGTGTCTGAAAGCGAATTCAGAATCTAGACTGATTCCAGCCGCGACGAGTTTGTCCAGCGTGCTTTCCAGCTGATGTTCAACGGCAAAGAGGAGGGCAAGCTTGGCGAGGGATCCGACACATGCACAGAGCTTGTAAAGAGTCTGGTTCAGAGTACGATAGAAGACTGTGTTTATCCGACAGACGGCGTTAACGGAAGCAAGGTCAGGAACGAGCTCCAGCTTTCCGAAACGGTTCCCTAGGCCTGGCAGACCGTCCTCCAAGTCAAGTATGGTCTCCCGAGTGAGAAATGTGACAGTGTGAAGTATCAGCTCGGGAGGAAGTGCAGCAAGTTCCGCCATGGAGGAAGAGAGCAAAGAAGTCCAACGTCATCAGAATGACACAACATGATCGGGTATCTCGAAGTCATTCGAGTCTTCGACCAGAGCTGTAAAAAAAATACATGGCGAGGCGATATGGGATGATGCGATATGGCGAGGAGTAAAGTGTACATATCAGCTATGTAAGGACCGACTCCTACAAGTCGACTACCACATAGAACATATACTATGTTTCCCTATGCTTTCATTCCCAAGGGGGTTCGACTCTGTCAAAAAACCCACTTGGGCCGTTATTTTTTTTCCCGACCTTTTCAGCCAACCTACCTACCTCGTAAGCATTCCCACGGACCATATATAGTAGTTATTCACGTGATTAGTTCGGCGCTTCCCGTTACTTACCGGCAGGGAAGCCATTTTCTATGGTTCTGCCAAGTGCGGAGGAGTCTCCGCTCACTGTCAGTGTCTCCGCTCACTGTCAGTGTCTCCTTGATTTTTGGGGCTTTTTTTGTCTGGCAGAGCGGAGACCTTACAAAGATCTGTGGAGACTTGCCATCAATTTGTACTTGATATGGTAGGTGATCTTGCCATGAATGCCGATTCGTAGTCCAGGGACTGGTCTAGAGGTGCAGGACAAGGTCCTGACACCCAAGGAGTCCCTACGAGGCCATTTGGGCCTATCTGGGACATTTTCTCAGAGGTCCGTATTTTTTTTTTTTGGCCTCGCGGCCCAACCTACCTACCTGCCCCTGTCCCGGCTTGACCGGCCCGTACCCCCTTGTTCATTCCACCAGGTCGCAATCTTGAGCTTGAGAGCAGGGTTCTGGACAAGGGGCTCGAGGATCTTCACAAGGTCAGCTCTGCCCCTGTCCATCGCAATTTCCACTGGCGTCCGCCCACTCCAGTCAACTTTTTCTACTGTCGTGGCTCCGAATTGGAGAAGAAGCTCAACTGACCGCTGTCCGAGCTCCCTAGGCCTCCTGCAAGCGAAGTGAAGTGAGGTCTGTTCCCGGCCATCTTTGTGATTTGGGTCTAATCCGTGTTCAAGGAAGAAGCGCAGTAGGTCGTCGTTCCCGATGGTATGTGCAAACACGTTGCATGAGTTTTCGTCCTGCGCGTTAATGTCTGCGCCTGCGTCGATTAGTGCATGCGCGAGGTCTAAGGTGCATGCTTCAAAGAGAGGAGGGGTTTCGAATTCGTCGCCAATGTTTGGGTCAGCGCCCGAGGCGAGTAGGAGCTGCACCATCGCGAGATTGCCGATGCGCACGGCATGGTGAAGTGCAGTGGCCGTCGGATAGTCGCCGTCAAGGAAATTGACGTTCGCTCCTTCTGATAACAGGAACTCGGTGATCTCTGTATTACCCGCTTTTACCGAGACAATGAGGGGAATGCTCAGGTACTCTTCATGTGTGTGGATGCGTCGTAGTGCAATATCCCATTATTGCGCACACCAGAGCTCGGTATGGGAATAGGAAGGAGAAGTCTGGTGATATCCAGGTGCCCACCGAGTAGCGCATAATCCAAGGGCGTCCTGGTGAAAGCGCGTGTGCACCTTCACCCTCATCTCCTCCGAGTCTCCATACAACCCCAACAATTTGACAACCATAGCCCCCAACCCCATTTCTGCGGCAATGTGGAGAAGGCCGTAGTTGCCGCCATAAAGGTAGCCGCCTCTCACACTGTTGTGTTCGACGTCCAGACGGATTCCAGCTGTGACGAGTTTGTCGAGTGTACTTTCCAATTGGTGCTCGACAGCGAAAATAAGAGCAAGCTTCCTGAGGCTGTCGACACATGCACAAAGTTTGTAAAGAGTTTGGTTCAGAGTACAATGAAAAAAGGTGTTTGTCTGAGAGAGCGCGTTGATGGAAGGAAGGTCGGGAACGAGTTCCGGCTTTCGGTTCCCTGCCAGACGGTTCTCGGGGTCAAGGATTGTCTCTCGAGTGAGAAATGAGACAGTGTGAAGTACGAGCTCGGGGGAAGCGCAGCAAGTTCGGCCATTGAGGGAGAAAACAAAGAAGTCTACCGCCATCAGCATGACATAAAATGATCAGCCATCCCAAATTTTGTTAACCACAGAACTGTACAAAAAATACAAGGCGAGACAGTATGGCGAGGAGTAAAGTATACATATCGAGTACGTGAAGGAGGGAATGCTACAAAAAGTCGGCTAACAGGTATTGGGGATAATGCAGGTGTGGGTATAGTATGTGTATGATGCGAGATAAATGGATGATTGAGGATGCTTGGGGATAGTTTGAGGAGAGAAGCCGATCGAGGGAGCCACACCAGTCAGCGGAACTTGTTTTCATCCAAGGACGAAGCTAGAGCTAGAGACACCCGAGAACTTGATTGCACTTCTTGAGGAAATCAGATAGCGCTGTCAGATCGGCTTGAAGGCGAGTCAATCAAGAAGACGGGCAGCGCTGAGGACGAAGGAAACAACGCTGAAGGAACGTTAATACGACGTACAGCGATTACAGAGGACCCACGGAGTATCTTGCAAATTTCGCGGAGTCAACGGGCTTCTGGGGGGCAGGGCGTGCATGGCCGGAGACGGAGGGTCTTCAGCATCGCACACCTTCCTCTGAAGGAGATATTTGTCAAGACAGGGTCAAGGCGAGTTTCAAAGCCATACTTTGAGGGAAATCGGTTCCTGTAACGCTGTTGACGCCCTCGGTTCTTCAGATTTGCTTGGTACGGCGGCCAACGCTGCCAACCTGGCACTGGCGAGACGTGTACCACCGTGGTTTCCGAACGGTCTGGATTCAGCCTGAAAAAGCATGTCACGACGACAAAGACAAATTGCAATAAGCCATACGCAGTCCGCGTCGCTGCTCTCGGCGTCATCGTCGACCTCTCCGAAGATTGGGGAGCCAAAAGGGGGGAAAGAAGGCGAGGGGGTGTTGCCGGCGGTGTAATTTCGTCGAAGTACATCTGTTGCACTTCCTTCGGAACTTTGAACGGCTTTTTGGCGAGCTGTATAGCGTATATCCGCCGTAGAGCACGAGCTTCTGTACAAGAAGTAGTAATAAAAGTTGAAGATTGAGAAGGACATAAACGAACCGACTGGGTGATTATACCTGTCGTGATTACCATTTCCGGCTTGGCGGGCCTTCTTGGGTAGCCGGCTTTGAACGAGGAGGTCAGTCATTTCAAGAAACGAAGGGGACAGGGAAAGCCTCACTAAGACTGATAGGCTTCTATCGCTACTCGGATGAGAGGGGCGAATGTATTCTTGACCAAGGAATGACCTTGCCAAGGTCCTGGTACCATAACCCACCGACGAATATGTGCACAGCATCGCGAACTGCACCGACGCCCTTTGAAGCTACCCGGTGCCTAGCGTCACGATGATACGGTTTCTTGAAGAGTTCAAATAGCACTTCTTCTGACAAAAGACAGTTCTCCAAAGTCTTGAGAGGAGTGTTGGAGGAGGAAGAGACGACAGTGGAAGAAGGAATTTACCCCGAAAAGCCCCGCAGGGCATCCTGCCTCAAGTCCTCCACGAACTTCGGTCAATGCAAGCGAAAAAGCGAAGTGCAGCGCGGTCCTGCCTAGACACTTGAAGCCCTCGCGCATCTCGTCCTTCGTGGATAGCATAGTGTCCCAGGTGGTCGGCAGAAGCCAAGGAAGTTGAATATTGAAAGTGGAGTCGGCAATGCACGCCTTGACGGCCTTCTTGATAGTGGTTTCGCGTTGATTCGGCATGCTGAGGTGGCGTTACTCTGTGGTTCTGGTTAAGAGGTGTCGCTGGCGGTGTCACATGTCACGTCAGGTTTCGTCGCGTCGTGCGCAGGACAGCGTGGGACGCGTCGAGATCTACGTGATATCCCCATCGACTGGACGGATCAAGTATATCGACCCCAAAGCAGTAATTTCGCGTTTTCTGGTGGGCCATCGTTTCCAGTTGAGGTCATGACCAGCTAGCATAACCAATCGATTGGAGGAAAGTTTCATGTATCAAGTTACGTAGCTACGCCATATGTCAACCACTATTGCATATGTTTTCATGCCTTCATAGCTCAGTTGGTAATGCTTCTGTAGCACAGCCACTCCCTGGTGGAGTGGTCAAGGGTTCTACTCCCTGTGAAGGCATCAGGACTGAGCGAGTCGACCGTCTTCGGAACTCACACGGCGTTGTGAGGCAGGTCGTGGGCCCAATAAGGGGAGACTCCGCGCCAACGGAACGAGGGTGCTTCTACAGTCGGCGCATTGTCAATGAAATGAACCTCGCCTACCGGCATATTTTTTATTCAATTATTTCATCAATGCCTTGCACCGTCGTGCTGGATGCCAGATCACACCGGCAAAAGTGAAAATTCAGCCCGGCTGAACATGTTGCCGAAATTCTGAGTTTCGGCTTCAAAAGAAACAAGTCTGAAAGTGCGCGTGAAAACAACAAATTCGGCAAAGCTGAATCAGTTGCCGAAAGGGATAAATTCAGCAGCATTTTGGCAGTGCTGAATGTACTCATTTCGGCACCAAATTTTGCATGTTTGAAAGTAAGGCCGAAAGCAATGTAACCAGCAGCCAATTCAGCTTGGCCGAGAATAACAATTTCGGCATTGCCTAAACTGTGGCTGAAAGTATTGGTTTCAGCCTAACTTTCAGCCACGCCGAAACAATAAGATTCGGCATTGCCGAAACTGCGGCCGAAATCATTTGTTTCGGGTCCAGCCGAAATGACAGCCTAATATGGCTGTTTCGGTTGGAGCCGAAAGTGCGGCTGAAATAACAAGTTTCGGCCCGGCTTAAAGTAAGCGGCTGCTCATCTGCAGTGTAGGCGGCAGACTGATCTGCAGTTCAACTGCAAACTGAACTGCAGTTCAGTCTGCCACTTATCAAGTTTAACAAATCTAATTAAATAAATGATTTGCATGGCGGGGATATGGTATAGTTATTATTGTGGGACATTGATAATGTGAAGCCAATGGGCCAAACAAAAACAAAAACGGAACAAGATGGTAGAGAAGGAAAAATATTATGTAAGCAGAACAATTACGTAAAATTCCAGTACCTTCAAGAGAGGAACAACAAGCCATGTGTGTGTGCGATTTAGCTCGGTCGAACATGTTGCGATAAGATCAGATAAGCCATATTGAGTAATCGGCCTAAAGTGCGGCTGAAATCATTGGTTTCAGCAGCAATAGGCACTTCAGGTGTATGTATGCAAAGGAATAGAAAATTCCTTATAATCCGCCCAAGAACGGAAAATCTGCTCAAGGGAGGAACAGAAGAAAGATTACATAATATTCCGACGGGTAGGTGAAAGGAGAGTATTGTACCCAGTGTTGTATAAGGAAGTTCAGAAAAGAGTGCCGTACATAATGTAATAGAAGCACTGAGTTACGTAGATGTTGTATGCCATGACAACAACATTGCAAAGAGAATCACAAGATGTATTGTCGAGCTGCAATGAAACTAACCCATGAATGAAAAAGAAATAGTTGGCTGCAGCACGTTCTAAAATAAACAGGAGAAGCTACTTCTCTGCTGAAACTTGGCTGCAGCTCAAAGAAAAAGAGGTAGGCAGCGGCAGTGCTCCGGATGGGAAAATGAGAAGCAGTAGATACTTCTCCGCCGAGAATGAGCTGCTGCTCAAAAAGAAGTAGGCTGCGGCAGTGCTGCAGACCGGAAATTGAGAAGCAGTAGTGAATTCTTCGCCGAAAATGAGCTGCTGCTCAAAAGGAAATAGGCTGCGGCAGTGCTCCGGACGGGAAAATGAGAAGCAGCAGGTAATTCTTCGCCGAAAATGAACTGCTGCTCAAAAGAAGTAGGCAGCGGCAGTGCTCCAGATGGGAAGTTGAGAAGCAGTAGGTACTTCTCCGCCGAAAATGAGCTGCTGCCCAAAAAGAAGTCAGCAGCGGCAGTGCTCCGGATGGGAAGTTGAGAAGCAGTAGTTACTTCTCCGCCGAAAATGAACTGCTGCCCAAAAAGAAGTCGGCTGCGGCAGTGCTCCGGACGGGAAATTGAGAAGCAGTAGGTACTTCTCCGCCGAAAATGAACTACTGCTCAAAAAGAAGTAGCCTGCGGCAGTGCTCCGGACAGGAAATTGAGAAGCAGTAGGTACTTCTTCGCCGAAAATGAGCTGCTGCCCAAAAAGAAGTCGGCAGCGGCAGTGCTCCGGACGGGAAAATGAGAAGCAGCAGGTAATTCTTTGCCGAAAATGAACTGCTGCTCAAAAGAAGTAGGCTGCGGCAGTGCTGACGACAGGAAATTGAGAAGCAGTAGGTACTTCTCCACCGAAAATGAGCTGCTGCTCTAGAAGAAGTAGACTGCGGCAGTGCTCCGGACAGGAAAATGAGAAGCAGTATTGCTGTAAATGGCCAAACATGAACTACAGCTCGCAAGGATGTAGGTCGCAGCAATTTATGTAATTAGTCAATTATGTAAAATTTCCATACCCCCAAAAAGGAAAAAGCAAGCCAGGTTTGTGCAATTCAGCTCAGCCAAACATGTTGCTGTACTACCAAGACATGATCTGCAAAAACGCAATATGGTAAGATCAGATAAGCTATATCAGGTAATCACCCTGAAGTGCAGCTGAAATCAATGCTTTCGGCAACAAATATTGACTTTGTGGTGTGTTTGCAAAGACATTTATTAGTATTTTTTTTATTACTATCATCACAGGATGGAAGCAGGCCAGATCAGTAGCAGAAATGGCAACTACATAATCTTTCCACAATACGTGGAAGGGAAGAAAAACAAAGAGCAGTGTCTAAAAGACTTGGGGTTGATATCCAGGGCTCGGCAGAGAGCCTGAAACTGTAGACGTAATTCTTCCGCCGTTCGGGAATAGACAGTCTTATGTAAGAGAAGGAAGGGGTTACATAAATGCTGGATGCCATGACAGCAACTTGTCGCAACGAGAATCACAAGAGCTAGTGGTCAGCTGCCCTGTGATTGACCCACGGGAAAAAAATGTAAGTAGTTGCAGTGCAGCATCCTCTGAAATAAACAGCAGCCTACTTCTAAGTTCTCTGCCAAAATGGAAACTCACCGTGTAGACCACGGCGAGAAACACTAAGCAGAGGGCAGACGAAATAAGATAGAATCGGCGTATGATTTCCAGAGACGTAGTAGTAGACAGAAAAAGAAGAATGTAACGGTCACGGTCACGGGATGTAAGTATGTGAGTAAACAACGGGTGCGTATACGTGCGTCGGGTTTACACCCTCCCCCTCCCTCAAAAATTCGTCCATCGGTGCAGAAATCAGTGCGTCTTCGCCAACCAT